TCATGGCTTAGCTAAATATTTCCCGCGATCACGGAGCCTTATACCAGTAGTGTGCATTGGTCAGAAATTTTATTGTTTTTGCTATGGTCATTCATATCGGTTTGTCGGTGGTTTCATCACATATCTCTATAACCGTGGTACAATAAATGCATTTTTTCCTTGCTTTCCGAAAATTTCAATGAGAGGTTTGTGATCAGTGGATATGACCAAATTTTTACCATATAAAAAATATGGAATTTTGTCACGGTACACACAACCGCTAAGGCCTCCAGATGCAAAATTTGATACTTCCGTTTGGCATCGTTCAGAGTAAAAGAAGTAAAACTTATTGGTCGTTCCTCGCTTTGAACTTGATGAGCTATCACTCCACCAAGACCGTAAGAGCACAAGCATCGATTACAATAATAACTGGTTTCTCAGGATCCAAACACTCAAATTTGGTTTTAAGAAAAAATGCTTACATTCGTTGAAAACTTAATTGCATTCACTATTCCAAATATATTTGGTGTTTTTTTCTTAGCATTACATAAAGATGTTTTATCCGGGTAGACAAATTTGGAATAAATTTAGAATAGTATGTAACTAAACCCAAAACAGCCTTGAGTTCCGAAACATTCTGCGGATCTTTCGCTTCGCGGATAGTTTCAATTTTATCCGGACAAGGAAGCAGTACTCTGTCCATCAAAACATGTGCAAGGTATGTCAACTCCTTTACAAAAAAAAATTGCATTTATTAAAATTAACTTTGATACTAGCTTTGGACAAACGCTCCAAGACTAAACAAAGCTTATTCTTTCAGACTTCAAAGTCTTTACCGGAAATTAAAACATCGTAACACGATACATTTTCAAGCTGCTGAAGTACCTTCTGAAAAATGGATGCACTCGACGAAGCTCTCTGTGGCAGCCTGTTGTATTTATGACCATAATTTTCGTTAATCTTTCCGACAGTAACAGTTGTGTATACGCACCTGTTAGATCCAGCGAACAAAACATCTTGGATCCTGCAAGAGTAACGAAAAGATCCTAAAGTAACCCATCGAAACATAGGAAAAACGAATAACCCCTCATTTCATCTGTCAATCTTTCATATCGAATCAAAACAAACATTGCATAGTACTAGAATTTCGACTAGAATGGGATACGTTAATCGTTTGCTTGGGACCAATAGGCTAGTCAAGTAGTGAGCCAATTTAAAATCGTTAGTTTCGCATTGATTGTTGCTATAACCCTGCTATCCGAGCGTGGTTATTTCTGACAGACAAGAAGTTAAATTTTGACAACCGTGGCTGAGTTTCTTCTCGAAAATCGGTCGATCGACAGCACAGGGATTTTCGAACATACACAATAACTTTCAAAATGTCACTTTTAACCACGAGTTAAATTTAACTCGGCAAATGGTTCACAGCCTTATTCCACCTATTCTGTTACAACACTTTTCCGAGCTACGCTTTCGTTTCGCATTTTCACTCGTTTAGGTGACTGTCTATTTTATCGATCTATCGATTATCGAAACGGCATTTTCAACTACACCGTTACATCACCAACCACAAATTAATCTTCTAACAGTATATACCACAAAAGAATGGAATTAAATCACTTGTAATAACCGTTTAGCACTCTATTCAGACCTTATTTTTTATATAAAATTAAGAAATAATCAAGAAATATTTCATGCCTTTGTATTCTCTATATGCAGGTTATGGTTTATCTCCTTCAAATGATGTATTTTACCCCAATGATGTGGTGCCTCTTGTCAATTATTGTCGTACGTCTTGCCCCAATGTTGTTAGGCGTCGCCCTAACCTCCATATACCTTTTCAACAACTCTCAAAACGTAAAAAATTAAAATAGGGGAAATGGATGTAATGTCGGCCTAAATGCCCCTAATTTGGGTCCATACATAAATTCAGCAATCGACTAAATTTTCAATAGCGACCAGAAATATCCATTAGTACCGTCCCGATGATGCGTTCATCTAGATAAATAGCAGACTTTTAGCGATGGGCCCAATCTTAGATCCATAGGCCAACATTAGAGCCATTTCCCCTATATTGCTTTGAATCGATACAAATCAGTGAAACTAGAAGATCCTACGCATCTTGGGATCTTTTTTTTAACTTTATTTTTGAGATTTTTAGCCGTTTATTAGTTTTTTACTGTGTTGACTTCAACCCAAAATTGGCTCCTGGCTCGATCGTACATTTACACAACATATTAAGAACACAAACATTAAAATCTGAATAAGACAGAGCTCCACACAAGGGGAACCGGGAGGGCCCCACCAGGCAGAGATCCCAACAGCCGCAAGGAATTAAAAAATACTAAACTTTAAAATACAATGCAGCATCCTTTAACAAGCGTATTACCAATAATCAATACGAAACTATCGATTTTAAATTGGCTCACTACTTGACTAGCCTATTGGTCCCAAGAAAATCGATTAACATACTCCATTCTAGTCGAAATTCTAGTACTTCACAATGTTTGTTTTGATTCGCTATGAAAGTATGGCAGATAAAATGAGGGGTTCGTGGATTTTCCTATGTTTCGAGGGGTGCATCGATTAGCTTGGGACCGAAGATAGTACCAGAGCTGAGCCAAAAAGTTGAGCACGTTTCTTCGGGACCTTCTAGTCTAAGAGTTACCTCTATGGTATTACTGCTGTTATTGTGGAGGGATCATCACCCAGCACGTCGCATATGCTATTTGGTAGCTCGTAGAGTTCCCGCAGGATCTGATACTGAGGGCATACGCATAGAATGTGCTTGATTGAGGATAGGGTTCTACAACCGACGCAGAGCTTGTATAACGCTGTGCGAATCTGTGAGGACCAGGATCGGTCGGTCCGAGGGCGTTGTAGCAGCGATAAAGATGGCAGCAGCTTCAACAGAGGAGACAGAACATTGCGGCGGTAAGCTGAAGCTGGTTGGTGTGGTGTTTCCGGCAAGACCGATACCGACCCCGGCCCGAGAGCGAGATCGGTCTGTGTATCGGTGAGTGTGCGTGGGGTATTTTTCTCCATTTCAGCTACAGTCCTTTTCATGGCCACGGAATTCTCTCCGGCATTAAACCTGCCCTTAATTAGGCTTTCCATTTTACGGTAATGGTGTTTGCCAGTATTTGTCTCCATGCTAGTGGGCCCTGGCCACTGGGGGGAGATCTTCGTTGGCAGCCGTGCGGAGGAGTCTGTTGCCCTCTTCGAGGAGGAAGATCCCTTGATTTCCAGATGTTTTAGAGATGAAAGCAGCGGCTTTGGTTGCGATAGCTGCGGTTATACGGAAGCGGAAAGCCAGGCTACCCGCGTCGATGCACGCAGTGTTAACGGGCGAAGATGGCAGCAGGCCAGAGAAAATCCGGACGTAGGTGTTGTAGACTGGTGCTAATGTGCTAAAAGCATATCCGTTCAGGTCATCTCCAGCCCGTATAGAAGGCGACTGTCAATAATTGCACTCGCAACGTGAAAATGGATGCTGCGGTTGTTCGATCTGCGTTGTAGGGAAATGGTCCGGATGAGATTCACTCGGCTGCAGTATTTTTTCTTGACGGCACTGAAATGCTTTTCAAAGTTGAGGAATCGGTCTACAAGAACTCCCAGAACTCGGTCTTCTTCAGCGGTATGGACTGGTCGTCGATTTTAATCGGTGGTCTGCTAATTTTGTGTCGAGAAGGGCAGACATGGCACCTGATGCTTTTAGAGGCTGATAATTTGAAGCCTACTGAGCGGACCCACCTGGCGACAGCGGAAACTGCCGCTTGGGCTCTCATCCTTGTACGTACTGGCGTGGGTCCGCTGGTGATGATGAGGATGTCGTCGGCGAACACATATATGTACAGTGTATCTCAAAATTGAGCATACAGTTGTCCCTCAATTTAAAAAAAAAACGCCTCGAAAAGCACAAAGTATAAATATACGTCTCTAATTTTTTGGCTACTAATACATTTATCAATTATTGGCAAAGTATTGGTCATTTTCGGTTGAGTTTATAAAATCTAGAACTATTTTAGAAAAACGCTTTTTCCTTGAAAATCCTTATTTTCTTGAAATTAAATGAACCTAACTTTTATAAATTTTGCTCTTTTTTAGTGCTATTAAAGATCATTCATATGCCTCTAATTTAACTAAAATTCGTCCACCAGGTAAATAGTTGAAAATCGAGCGTTTTACTAAAATAAATCTAACTTCATACCGGTTCTTCCAATAAAGTCCAAAACTACAGCAATAAATCAATAAACTTATGTTTAACCACCAGCCGAGATTAAAAAAATATATCTATTCACCATTAATGCATGGGCCCTAACCGATCCTTGTGGCACACCCGTGTTCACGGGCAGAGCCGGGATTTGGTGTTGCCGACTGCGACTCGCATTTTGGGATCGATTTGAGTATAGATACGGCTCTTAATTACATGTTCAAAGCTGTTGAACAGGTAAAAAGTGAAGTTACGCGACGCCATTGCTTGCTCTATCCTAGAGAACTATCCAACCTTGATTTCCATTCATACTCATAATAATTTGAGTTAATTTATTGCCGATCAGTATCAATCTAAATCGCTTAATAATTAATAATTGTGGAAGTGCATCTAGAACACTAAAGTTGAGAACCGCCAAGTTTAAAGAACTCAAGTTGTTTTGTTTAGCCGTGTACATCCGTAACTGCCTGGATAAGAATAACGTGAAAAAGAATGCACGAAATTGCACAGGTGAATCTTTGTCATTGACGAAAAAATGAATAAGTTTTGACAAAGGTTAATGTGAGAATTAATTCTTCCAGTGATAATGTCAAAAATAATTCTGTCAATATCGCGTGGAAACTTTCAATGACAATGCCAATTTTCAGAACTGATTCTGATAACAACACTTCGACTTTTTATTCTTATAATCCCGGATGAGATTTGAACTCGTAACCTTCACAACATGGATGTGAATCACTACGTCGGGCTCGTCCCATCTGTTCGACTTTGCTTGCTCTCACTGTTCATTTTTCTTTTTCCTTTCCAGTTCTCGCACAACGTGGTTTCTTCAAAGATAGCTCATTCATCAACTACCTAAAATATCTTCTGTATTGGAAGGACCCAGAATACGCCAAGTACCTGAAATATCCCATGTGTCTTTACTTCCTGGATTTGCTTCAGTACGAACACTTCCGGCGGGAGATTGTGAACGCCCAGTGCTGCAAATTCATCGACGACCAAGCGATCCTACTATGGCAGCACTACACACGGAGGCGTACGAGACTTACCTCGTTGGGAACGACGAGCCTCACGGGGTTGTCTGTCGGAGGACAACCAGTCGGCGGTGGCGTACAGGGAACCTTGCTATCGAATGACCCAGTTCCAATGGCCAACAACAACAATAACACCAATAGTACCAATGCTAACAATCCACAACAGCCCGGACAGCAGCAGCAGAATGGTGGCCCGATGGCACAGCAGAATGGTCTAGCTAACAATACCGGAATGTCCGGGGTAGGGATGGGTTCCGCTGGCGGTGGTGGTGTCAATCTCAGTGGGCAGAAAGTGTCCTAAGATTAAGCTTAGTAAGTGCGTATGCATTTCGAAAAAAAAATAAGCTTTCTTCTGTAAAAAGACTGTTTTATAACTCTTATAATAAAATGCTAAAGTAATCTTAGAGACCCACTGAAGGTTCGAGTTTGAATCACGAAAGAAAGCATGATTAAAGCTACTGGCTGCATATCTACAGAGATGGAAAACAAATGAGCAAAGGTCAAGCGATGATGTGCATCTATTGCAACTGAGTTGGATACCGAACACGACGTTTTCTAGTTTCGCCCATAAGCGTGTCTCGTAGTGGGTTGATGCAGAAATATTTGTTTTTCAATTTCACTTCCATTGCCTGTTATTGGCCCTACTACTACTTGCTGTTACTGCTACTACGAAACCATCGGAGTATAAATGGATAAGTGACCTAATGCTGGATTGCTGGGTATGATGATTGTGCGACTGTGTACACTACCGGACATAATTATAGCTGCATTACGAACCGCATCTCAGTTTTATGCCGAAACTGGCAGCAGCCAGCAGTATCGCTTGATGTGTATCACAGTCGTCTATGCACTTGATAGTATCTATTGTTCGGTGTGCTTTGTTCATCATCTGCAGTTTGCTCGGTCGAACCAATAGTTGCCGACCTGGGAAGATAACATTTTGTGATTAGCATTAAGGAACACCACGATTTGCGTCCATCCAATGGAAGCGCTGTGTCCCTCTTTGGCGTGATAGTCATGCTTGTGAAACCACTGGACATGAATCCTGTTCTGATGGAAAAATTTGGGACAGCGGAGGATTTTCGTGATTTTTGTATTGGATTTCTTGACTACATGTTTAAGATTTATTGTTTTGATTCCATTGTATTGTGTGAACATGAAAACTCGGTACTGTAAAGTTCATTCGGTTGAGCCTGATCAAATAAAGTAATTAAAAAAAATACCTGCACCTCTCTTTTCTTGAAATTGACATCATACGTAGCAGGTACAATTGGGTTCTTTAGGGTATTGATTTGAAGTACGTAATACACTTTGTTTATGCTAATGGAAAACCAGCAACACTGTAACGAGAGAAAAATCAGAATAAAACGAGCTTTTGTGATCGACGGAAGTCCTTTGTTTTCGTTCTCGGAAGTTAGCCAAACCATCCATTTTTTCTTGCCGGAAAAGCTTGAGCTATCGTTGGACATTTTTTGGTCCGTTCTCCCGGATCACCGGAGGAATTTTGTATGGTTTCCGGCATTCGTGAAGTGTGTGATTAGCACCGTGTGTTAATATCGGCGCAAGGCCAAAAGTGGTGGTGGTTCTTTGCCACTGAGTGTGTGTCCGTGGCACAAGTGTCTGGACGGTCGCCATCTTGGCGGAAAACGTGGAGTCGAGTGCGCTCGGCTCGTTTTGTGAAAAGTTACGCCATTTTGTGGCGCGTTGATCTCTCGGCAACTGGACAATAATTTCGGAATACGCTTTCTCAAAATCATTTGCAGTTCGCCGCAAAGTCTCCAGATGAAGCCTGAGCAGGTGAATGCTGATGGTCTCTTCCTGCAAAGACTCATTCATCCGTAAAAGCTTGTCGAGCAGCAACGTCTGCCGATCCAGCAAGGCTTCCAGGTTGAATTCCATCCTTCACCGATATTTTTTTTTCATATTGAATGAACCCAATTTATTGAATTACTTAATCAAGATTTATTCGAAAATATTGCGATTGCAAGTTTCCTCTAATTTCCTCTACTAGCAAAACTTTTGAATGTGATCATTTACTTGTCGCATCACGTAGCCGTTGGTGTCACTTTATACAAGTGATTTTCAGTACCTTTGAAAGTGAATCCATTTTTGCGGCGGATAGAGTACCCAACAACATCAATGGTGGATGCCATTGCAACCATTACAACCGAAAGTAAAAACTGTGAAAACGTGACGCTTTTGTTTTCACCCAAAGGGCTACCCACTTAACAGCTACACGTCCCGCGAGAGGTTGACGTGGAAAAAGCAAACGGAAAGAAAGACGTGAATTGAATCGACTGCGGCTGCAATTTATTATCGCTAAGCTGGTAAGACCGGCAAGGAAATAGTTGAATGGGGTACCCTTTTTTGCAGCTCGTTGGCATAATGTAGCTTCGGAAAAAGGTGACATTGCGTCAATTGAAATGTGTTAACTTCGTAATGCCATCCGTTTAAATAGTTGTAGGTTTTGCTTAATTACGTTAAATCGTTTTGGAGTCTGGCGTACTTATTCCTTGGTTCATAAACGAAAAAGTGGGGCTAGTGGATTTTCCTATGTTTCGAGGGATGTTTCGAGGGGTGAATCGATTAGCTTGGGACCGAAGAGAGTACCACAGCTGAGCCAAAAAGTTAAGCACGTTTCTTCGGGACCTTCTAGTCTTAGAGTTACCTCTATGGTAATTTAATAGTTTTATTGCTAGGGAACTTTCTTTTGGGATAGTCTTTTCTTCATACAATTCCCATTATTCATACTATATTAATCATGATCAGTCTTAGGAAATGTTATGTGTTTAAGCCCAGTTCTAGATTAGTTTGTTATTAATATCTTTTCCATTGCAGCTTGCGAGAGGTTACCAAATATGAGTTCTCTTTTTCATTCACAATAGTTTGGGGGAGGGGGCGATCTGAGAGCTGAATAGAGGCAAATAAAATAGGGAACACCACACCATGACCCAAACGACTAACTAACGCATGTGGCTCATACTTAACTTCTAGATAGAGCTGGAATTAGGGCCTAACAGCTTTTGTAAACAATGTCTCTCTTGATGATTTCTAGAAATTCAAGACTCGCCCACGCAAACCAACATCCTCATCGGGTAAGGAAAGACTTCCCCTATCCGATGGTTTGGTTGGTCTACGTGGACGTGCCTTGAATTCCTAGAAATCATCGATGTACGAGTGCACGGATGGATTTGAGTTCACTCGCTCGACAAAAAGTGACACAACAGCGGGGCCCTGTTTACTTAAAATGAACACATGAATAATACTCGCGTAACATTTGAAACGGGCCTATCAATTTTTGTACACAAAACTTGTTAAGCCCTTTTCGCGCGAACCGAATACGCCCACGCAAACCAACAACACCATCGGGTAGGAGAAATTCTCCCCTTGCCGATAGTGCTCTTGGTTTACGTAAGCATACTTCGGTTCTCGTGAAAAGGACCTTGCAAGTTGTTTAGGAAAATTGATAATCCATTTTCAAATGTTATGCGAGCATTATTCATGTGTTCATTTTTAGTAAACAGGGTCCCGCTGTTGTGTCACTTTTTGTCGAGTGAGTGAACTCAAATCCATCCGTGCACTCGTCTATAGAAGTAATTTTTTACAAAAGCTGTTACGCCCTAATTCCAGCTCTATCTAGACTTGTCCTATTTCTTTCGGAAAGAGTAAGGGCCTGTTCATAAACTACGTAGACAGTTTTTTTTTGATTTTTGAACCCCCCCCCCCTCCCTCTCGCTGCGTAGACAATTGCCCATACAAAAATTTTAAAATTTGTATGGGCCGAGGATAATTGTCAACCCCCCCCTAAACTGTCTACGTAGTTTATGGACAGCCCCTAAGCAGTAAAAGGATCACGCCGGTTGGAGACAGCTGGTTATACTGGACGGCCAATGAAATATTTTACATTTTACTGTATAAATAATTATTTATACACGTCTTATTAGCTTGAAGTCTGAAAGTGAAGAGACAGAGTTCTAATGGTTCTACAGTTTATTGCTACTCAACACCTCTACCTAAGAACACGATAACCTGTCGTTTGTTGTCGTTGGTAACTGTCACTACTCGGCTAATGCTATGGACGAGTGCACCGATGGATTTGAGTTCACTCACTCGAGAAAAAGTGACACAAGCTGCGGGCAATGTTTACTAATCATGAACACTAACAGTTCCAACCTGGATCGGGTATCAAGATTGGATCTGCTTGTTTTCTGACAAACGTCAGTTTGATCGTTTGTTTTTAAAACCCAGCTCAGGTTGAGGTTCGCACTGACAAAAAGTTCGGTTTCGCACCGAATAATAAACCGATAATAAACGAATTCGCTATAAATGATGCTCAATAGAAAGGAAAAAAGCAAGAAAGCGCGAACAAGAAAAGAAGAGAGTAAGCAGTCAGAAAGAATCACGCCGGTTGGAGACAGCCAATTTATACTGGACGGAACTGGTAAGTAGGATCAATGAGGTACAGTACCGAGGTGAAGCAGTTCCGTAAGATAGTGTGCGTGAACAGATAGTATGATTAAAAGATGACATAAATACAAATACAGCACACAGGTTGCCTACGTCACTACTTGTGTTTACGTTTTGAAATACAAAAACTTTAAAGTGAAAACTATTTTTTGTTGGGATTTTTTTGTAGTTTTATAAAGTAAAACTGGTTCATTCCTGAAGTGCTCGTTTAATATTATTAAAATGCCACGGTGCGCAGTGAATGCATGCGGAATCACGCCGGAAAAAGCGAACAAAAGCGGAATTTTTTTAAGTTTTCATACGTTTACGCAGTAACAAGAAAAAATGAGAAAAAGTTGAAACATTTTCAAAATTGATGTGCGTTTGTGTGTGTCTATTTGTATGTGTGGGTCTAAGAGAGAGCAAGAGAGATAGAGAGGTGATTCAGTGTTGGCATGAATAAAAGTGAACCGAAATAAATACTATTAAACGTCTAATAGACGAACAAAAGATGCTTAATTTTATTTCAATCCATAAAGAAAAAGGAGCTTCTAACTACGCGACTACTCGCTTCACCAAATAGCAAATTTTTTTGAAAAATGTACCTGTGTAAAAAAGGAGTATTCACTAATGGGTGACATACATAAACTAACAAATACTCAATATAAATATCAAAAACAACCCACCCATACACACACACACACACATACACAGACACACACACACACACACAGACACACACACACACACACACACACACATACACACACACACACACACATATACACACACACACACACACACAAACACACACACATACACACACACACATATACACACACACACACACGCACACACACACGCACACACACATACACACATTGAAAACGGAGGAGCGAACGTGTTCGCAAGGAGCGGGATATTGCAGAGATCACCAGTGTTGAACCTGGAGGCAACAGCGAGTTCCAA